CGCCGCGTTGAAGTCAAGAAGGGCGAACCGTGTCTTTGTCAGCTTTGTTGGCGCGGCGCGCGACGCTGCCCACTTTCCCGAACCCGGAGGTCGCGGACCCCGCCGTCCGCTGGGGGCGTACATTCACTACGGCCTCGGGCCACACGCGTGCCTCGGGCGCGAGGCGAGCCAGGTCGCGCTCACGGAGATGTTCAGGGGTCTCTTCCGCAGACGGAACGTCAGGAGGGAGCCGGGCCCGCAGGGTGAGCTCAAGAAGGTGCCGAGACCCGGTGGGTTCTTCGTCTACCTGAGGGAGGACTGGGGTGGCGTGTGGCCGTTCCCGTGCTCCATGAAGGTCATGTGGGACGAGGACGAGGTCGCCAACGGGGCCACGAACGGGACCACGAACGGGGCTACGAACGGGGCCACGAATGGTCAAGAAGGGTCCGCCTACGAGTCGAAGGACAAGGCGACGGCGTAGAGGTGGTATAGAAGGGGCGGTCGCTGGAGAGCAAATTGTATGTCTGTCGTATGATATCCTGGAAAATTGACACTTGGTGCCGCGTTCAAAATGCGACGTTCTTGGTGTTCTTGTCTGGGTGACTGGTTGATTTGTCCGCTATTCTGCCACGTTTGTGCATGCCTGGTCTGTCCAATTTGGTCCCCTTGATTAGGTCCCCTCGACTCAAAATAGGCCAGGATCGTCACATTTGATACCTTGACGTCAACGGCGGAGACGTTTTCTGGCCCAGAATGGACGCTTGTCGAAGATCCACGCATAGTCTGGAGGGCGGTGGATCTAGTCGATTACGATCTTCAAAGGTGGAAACTTCACGTTCATCATTATCAGACTCGAATGAGTATCGAGACTGCGTGGCTGGATTTTGCAGGCGTTCTGTCTCATCGTATTTGAGGAGAATGTCTGATATGAGTGTGGTGACTGTGCATCGGCATTCCCTGACTGCTATTTTCTTCTGAAGGCACATCTGCTTTCGCTACCACCTGCGATGGGTGGTGTCTTTGTATGGAACGGACAGCTGTCGGTGAAATCAAAACACAGACAATATACCGGGCAAGAACTAGACAGGCCAGTGTATTCTAACGAGGCAATATCTTACAAGCACGCAGAAGCCCTGGGAACTTGCTCGTCGTTCGAAAAAAAAAGAATGGCTGCGGGTGGAATCGAACCACCGACCTCCCGGGGAAGAGAGAATGATCTAGGTTCTAGGTCTGCGAAAGCGGAATTTTTCTAGGGAGAAGAAACCCCGGGCGCTCTACACTGAACTACGCAACCTTGTTGGGGGAGCTCCAGACACAGTTTGTTCATGGAGGAATCGGAAGGTCGCAGTAGATCGGCGGAGAGGCCATCAGGGTGAATGGGTGACTGGTTGAGCCCATGAGGGTGCGGTTCGTTCTTGAATGTTCTAGCAATAGAGACCAAAAACACAACTGAAAAGAGACGAAAAGGGGGGGGAGGAAATGCGGAGTCCCATCATGCCTTGTACACAAAATCCTCGAGCTCCTTGTAGGCCGTCTCGAGGTCCTCGTTGATGATGACCTTGTCGTGGACGCCCGTCTCGGCGTAGGCCAGCTCAACCTTGGCCTGGGTCAGGCGCTTCTGGATGCTCGCCTCGGACTCGGTACCGCGGCCGCGCAGGCGGCGCTCGAGCTCGTCGGCCGAGGGGGGCGCGACGAAGACGTAGCGGGCGTCGATGTCGCTCTTCTGGACCTGCTTGACGCCCTCCATCTCAATGTCGAGCACGACGACCTTGCCCTTGGCCGTCTGGTCGGCAATGGTCTTCTTCGAGGTGCCGTAGAGGTTGTCACCGAACTGGGCGCTGGA